CAACTTAGGTATATTTTATGTACATTATTTTTTACGATGATCATACGATGCGTGAAGATGCTTTGCTTTCATCACAACGGTTTATGTAATTATTTAATTTTGCAGGCCGTACGATGGAAGTACAGATCAAGCGTACAAGCAGTGGTACTGCATGAACACACGTGCTAGCCTGGCCAGTCAGCCAGCTACTATACCAACACATCTCACACAAGAGGAGCAGGCGCGGAGACATGTTGAGCTGCATGCAGCTTACTATCGTGACCACCTGGTAATCACTTGTAACTTTTTTAGGTCCATCATTTCATAATCATTGGAACTAAATAACATCAAAATATTGTTCAGCTTGAAAATGTCAACGAAGTAGGGCAGATGGCTACGGATAGCATGCCGGCCCAGGGCCCATATCGCAAGACATTCCAGAAACTTTTGCAACAATTCGTGGCAAAGAAGTTCAGATGCGGTAGAGGCGACGACGTTGCCACTGGAGCATACATGCCGGTAGCGAGGTCAGCCAGACCGAGTGCGGCACCGTCGTCCAGACCGAGCGAGGCGCGTACGAGCCATGAGCAATGGGGGGAGGGTCCGAGTACTAGAACGACATTGCCACGACATGACTCATCTCTGCCACTGCATCGCTCTTCTTCGATGCAGCTTCGTCAGGGGCAAACATCTCAGGACCATGGCACGAGCTTGGATTCGATGCCCGAGCAGTTTCTTTCCCCTAACCCATATGCGTACACAGGATATGATGCATACACCCAAGGTGAGGGATCTCAGCCGTTTCTCTCCACGCGAGGGATCCCCATGCCCGAGGAGACTCGTGTACCAGATTTAAACCAGCACCAAGTACAATGGCCAGACAGTATAGGAGAGGGATATGCTCAGGTAGTCATGTTTACATTTCAATGCATTTACAATGATATCATATATTATCCTCTAACAGTTTGTTTAAAATGTTTCTATGTGCAGGACACACCTGATGTTAATTGGGGCGATGAGAACACCCAACGCGGCGTCAACACAGGCCTCCGAGGAGCATCACATGATCATGGCGTCAACACAGGCCTCCGGGGAGCATCACATGATCTTGGCGACACGGTTACATCATTAGTTACAGAGTTCTTCGGAGGGGATGTTATTGGCCCATCTTTTATCCCTCCGGAGTCACAACCATACGCCTACAATTACGCTTCAGGTTCGCAACAAGGATTCGCGACTCCACCACCTACGCAGGACTCGCAGACACATGAAGCCGAAGTGGAGTACGGCCGCGGTCTTCGTGTGACCCGGCCACCTAATCGCTTGTCGCCTTCTGGTCGTAAGGAAAGGCCAGGTGGTCGTCGTTAAGTAGGGTGATTCATCTATGCACGTGCGCGACCCATTGTATCTATATATGTGTGTATCAGACTTTTCGATTTGAACATCTATGTTTGCTGAAATAAAAATGCACCAGTCAACGCTTTCCCCTCAATATTTTCAGGCAACGCTTTCCCCTCAATATTTTCCCGCCAACGCTTTCCCTCCATATGTTCCGCCACCCGTTTCCCGCCAACCCCTTCCCGCCATATCTTCCCGCCACTCGTTTCCCGCCATATGTTCCCGCCAACCCTTTCCCGCCATACTGCACTCGTTCTTTCCCGCCATTTTCTCCTCTCTACCTATAAAACCCCCTTCAGACAGAGGTGGATAAGCATTCGAGTGTAGTGTAGTCGAGATGTCCCATTATCCTTTCGATCGTAGTTTTCACCCTGGGATGAGCAGGACTCTTCTGAGGCTAGCTACTGATTTCAGGATGGACAATAGGATAGTTCCATGGGACGAACTCACCGGTAGTGACACCATAATGAATGAGTTGGCTCACCAATTACGTAGGTCTGGGTGGCCTGAAAGGACCTATGAGGAGGTACGTAAAGAACTTCTTAGGTTGCATGCAAGGTGGAAGAATGTAGTGGAGCCGAAGAGTGAAACTTTCAGAAGGACTGCAGAAATGCATCCATTTTTATGGACTGAGGAGAGCGAGGATGAAGATGATATCTTCATGCCGCCGCTTCCGGGTGCTGCATAATCAAAGGGCAAGAGTTCTGCATCGTCTAAGGGCAAGAGTACTGCATCCTCGAAGAGCAAGAGTTCTGCATCGTCCAAGGGTAAGAGTTCTACATCCTCGAAGGGCAAGAGTTCTGCATCGATGGAGGATGATGATGATGCCTTCATGTAGTTTTATTCCAGTTCTACCGTTTAATTCGGATGTACTTGCATTATTAGTTTGTACTCTGTTATTGTAGGGCATTATGTTCTATCTTAATTTTATTTTGTAGTTGTTGCACGATGTTCGATATTAGTGGAGGGAAAGAAAATGCCACTACTTTATTCTTAAACTATATTTTTTTTTCCATTACGACACGGCACAACTGAAAATAAGATACATTGTAGGAATATACCTACATTTAACTCCTGAAATAAAGCTACATTAAAGTGCAGAAATAAAGATACAAATGATTGCGGAATTTTAAATACTACCACAGGAATCTACTGAGTCCAGCGTGGATATTTTCCTTTTTCATCGTCAGCTTCTTCTGCTGCCTTGGCCTGACGAGCCCTTTCTTTCTTTCTCTGCCTCTCTGCCTCACGAGCCTCTTTTCGCTGTCGTTCCTGCTCCTCCATGCGACGAGCCTCTTCCCTGTTTTTCTTTCCCATTTCCTCAAAAAAACGGTGTTGCTCCGCATAGTATTCTTTTAACTCTCTCTCTCTTGCTCTGCTTTCTCCTCAGCTTCCGCCTTCTCGCGTCGCTCTTCCGCAAATAAACTATTCCACGCACGGCGACTTCTTTCACGAATCTCAGTCACTGCCCAAGCCGGCTTCTCCGTGTCAATTCAATGATAGTACATGCACAGAGGCGGAGGAGACTACAACAAGAAACAAGAATGTTACTAAAGAATCAATGAAAATACCAACAATATCTATTCGTGATGGTTAAAGCATACCGGAGGCTTGTCGTACTCTGAAATAGCTACGGCAGGATCTTCCTCATAATTGGCGCACATGAAAAACTTCATGCCCAACTAATCTGAAAAATCCGTCACCTCCTTCACCTTGCAAAGATCGCCACACCAACATCGCAGGACTGCCACCCCAGGAGGCAAACTTGTGTTCTTCATTTTCCTCGGCCTAATGCTTTGATCCGAGCAAGGCAAACTCATACCGACTGAAAAAAATTGTGTTATACACTTTGCGCAGTGGCGATTTCAAGGATGGCTGGACGAGAGCCTCGGTGTCTCCTTTTATAAGCCCAGACGATAAATAATGGCGAGAAAATTAAGCAGTAAATTTTAGGATCCCTGTAGTGTCGGCACAATAGCTTCCCGCAGTATTGGATTCCCGCAGCGAGTGACTGATGCCGTCGCATCCTCTCAAGCAATAGCCAGAGCGATTCTCACAGTGCGGTCCTATCCGCTAAGGCAAAAGAAGCTAAAGCAAGACTGATTCTTGGGCGAAAGAAGCATCAGCGTGCATTTTCCCGCTCGTGGGAATCACCGCCGTCAGGGTCGCTGTTGCACACGGGAATCAGCGCCATCTGCAATAGGAAAATGCGTCGGGCGTGAAGAAAGATGCCGCCTCCTCCGGTGGCGGCCTGGCCCACGCCTCGGCCCGCGCGCAGCTGAGGCTGTCGGACGGGAAGCGACAGCGGCAGAGCTCGCCGCCTCACCTAGTGGCGGCCGGGCCCACCGCTCCTGGCCCGTTCCGTCCCAGCTACTGCACTGTGCAAGAACCCGTTGTGCACCGCGCGGCCGCCTCCTGCGGTGGCGGCGGGGCCCGCCGCCTCCTGGCGTGGCGGCAGGTGCCACGTGTCGCCTGCCGCACCTGCCGCCACTAGTCAGGGGGTCCTTTTTGACGTTTTTATCTGCAGATAGTCCTTTTTGACAATAGCGTTCGGCAGGGGGTTCTTTTGGACAAAAAATCGCTGAACGACTCCATCCGCCGGCTATGCTTGTGCGACCTGCATGCCGTGTACATATAAGGAGAAAACCGCGTGTTACGCGTGATACGAATGTGTGCTACTCGTGCCGACATGCACTTGGGCATAACTGCACTAGTGTGCAATTATGTGTGCGTTTTGTGCCACTGCTCACCATCTGTACATATATTGTGATTTGTGTCGAACCGCTTTATTCCCCATAACGCCTTAACTCACGTTGGATGGGTTGGGAGCAAAGTAGTCATTGTACAGTAGCCGAGCTCCAGAGACCCGATCCTGGTTCAAACATCTTCTCCCTTTGATCGAGCCTTTGAAGTTGAGAATGTGCGTCACCTCTCGATCCATTTCTTGTTGGATGCTCATGATCATGGTCATCTCGGCTTCTTCGTCTGAATTCGATGAATTGAATAACTCATTATGAATCATTTCATCAAGCTCTGTCGGCCCATACTCCTTGTCCGATGAACCATCTGAATCCATTGTTTTGCCTAAGAAACAATAAAAAAGCTGATCGGACGATGTGTCGAACACATAGAGGGTAAGGTGCAGTCCGAGAGTTGTCGGACGTACCGTGATTGCATCTGGGTCGACGACGATGTTCGTGGCGTCGAGAATGGATGGGCGGACTGTTGAGGCGGTGCTGAGGGCCCAGTACGGCGATGGAGAATGGGGGCGGAGCTACGACGAGGAGGAGGAAGAAAAAAAAGAGGAGAAATAATTGGAATCGACTAGGTCAGAGTGGGAAGGGGAGGGGGTTAATGCAATTTGGGTCTGGTCCGACGAGTCGGAGACGCTAGAGTGCGCCGGGCCTTTACATATCCGTCCAAGATTTAGACGGGATACGAGGGATGCTTGTCAAACCAAGACCAACATGAGAAGTCACTCCGTGACTCTGCGTTGCTTTTTTAGACGACCAGACATATGGGACGGGTTTGAGGCACCATTGGATCACTTTGGACCAAATGACCATTATACAAAGTCACAAAGTAGCAGCAAAATGAAGTACGACGAGAGCACTTTCGGAGGATCATGCACTTAATGTGTTGCTTTTTTTGCCAAGCGCCGCCTTCCACTTGACGGCGACCTCCTCGAGCGCACGGCGCGACGGCCCCTCCGGTGACCACGCACGTGCTGCCGCTTTCTGCAGGTCCTCGGCCCGGCGCCGCAGCTTCTGATCCCCCTCCATGAGCACTTTCACGGCGGTGGCGATCTCGTGGCGGGTCACCAAGCATCCGACCTCCGCTGGCACTCGCAATGCCACTCCAAGCCTCTCTTCCAGAATGACGGCGTTCATCCTCTGTTCTGCATACAGCGGCCACGCGAGCATGGGCACGCTGCACCCTAAGCTCTCCAGCGTCGAGTTCCACCCGCAGTGCGACACGAAGACGGCGGTCGCGGGGTGGGACAGCACGCGCACCTGAGGCGCCCACGCCGCGACGGCCAGGCCCCTGCCTCGCGTCCTCCCCAAGAAGCCCTCGGGGAGCCACGCCAATGGATCGTCCTCGTCGTCGGCGCCGTCGGTTCTTGGCATCCGCACGACCCAAAGAAATCTTTGGCCGCTCGCCTCGAGACCAGCCGCGAGCTCGGCCGTCTGCTCCACGGAAAGTGCCCCGCCGCTCCCGAAGGCGACGTACACCACAGAACCGACCGGCTGACGGTCGAGCCACTCCAAGCATGGCGACGACGCGCCCACGGCGGCTTCGTCGGGATCTGGCCCCCGGACGAATGGCCCCACCGGGAACACCGGCGGGAAGAGGAACGCGCCCGCAGCTTGCTCTGGCACGGCCAGCCGCTTGAACGCTTCCGCGGTGCCAGGTTCCATCTCGTAGAACGTGTTAACCAGTATGCCATCGGCAGCGCGGATCCTCCGGCCCAACTCGACAACCTGTTCGTAACCCGGGTGCCTGGAACTGCCGCACCCGTCGGGGAGGTCCTCGCGGCACAGCGAGACGCCGCCGAGAAGCTCGAGAGGCACCGGGAGGTCACGGTACTCGCCCGGGGCGGCGTCCTCGTGGAGCTCAAGGATGTGGCGCGTGAGGGCGACCAAGGCCAGGTTGCTAGGGATGAAGAGGTACCCCGGGACGCCGAGCTCGGCGGCGACGGGCAGCGCCACGGAGCAGAGGAAGTCGGGCACCAGCGCGGCGAGCGGGGCGGCACTGGAGCCGTCGTTGATGGAGCGGAGGAGGGCGCGGATGTTGGGGACGGAGCGGCGGACGAGCTCCAGGAGCACGAACCCGTCGTGGGCGTCGGCGGGGAGGTCGTCCATCCGGACGGCGGGGAGCGCGGCGGTGGCGACGGAGGCGGGGAGGCGCGGGAGAAGCTGGCCTGGCGAGCCGGAGAGGTTGGTGAAGGTGACGATCGTGGCCGCGAAGCCATGGAGCTCCACGAGCCGCCGCGCCAGCTCGGCCATTGGAATGAGGTGGCCGGCGCCGGGGCTGGCCAGAAGCACGACGTGCGGCCGCGCTCTGGGTGGCGCGGGGCCAGTGCTGGTCAACGACCCCATCCCAGTGCACCGTGCGTCCGTGAGCGGGATGCTGGTTGTGGTCTTGTGGATCTGGAATCCAAGGTGTGATCCCATTCGGCATTTTACGAGGTAGTAATATACGGTATTCTGGGAGCGTGCTGCGGAGGTGCCAGGATTAATCCCACATGCCTGGTCAGAGCCTCGCAGTCACAGCACTGCGAGGGAAGTCTGATTTAAATCCTGAGTTTGTAGAGAGCCACGCCGCAAGAGCTGTATTATACCTACGGTTTTCTATGAGTTGAGAAGGGTTACGGAAAGACTTGTCATATTGGTGATTAGCAGGGGCATAAGCCCACGCGAACCAACCTGTGATTGAATGATTAGAGGGACTGTAGTATTCTCAGCTTATCAGGGTTCAAGTCCTGATGATAGGTGTGCGTGTGTATGTTTTATTAGTGGGCAAAGTTTTAATTAGTGGTTGCATCTGTATTGTGTTCAAAAAAAGGGCACAAGCCCATCCTAAAAATCTGGTGGGCAAAGTTTTATTAGTGGGAAGGAAAGCTTCGTAGGCTTACGTCATCTCTCCGTCCGGTGAAAAGTATACATATAGAATTTTAGGACAAATTATGAAATGAAGTAAAAATGCATTGGAAAAGTACAAGCCATTATCGCTCTTTTTTTAATTACCCAATCTCCAACGAGCTAAGTGCATGTAAAAATTAAAAAGACCATGTGTAGCATGTATTGGTCTTAATTACCGTGTGATGAGAGAGAAGCATTTTTTTCTATTTTAAAGTGCAGTGAGAAGATAGAAGTACACTCTTTTTATGGACAAATTTTAAATCCAAATGTACACTCTTCACCGGACGAAGGGAGTAGATGGCTGCGTAGTTGTAGCATTTTTGGCGATACAAATGAATCATGAAGTACATACTCTAACCACACGGGCAATGCTACACGTAGGCGTACAGAA